CTGGAGTTTGGAAGGCACCCATGTGATCACCTCTCAAATAAAAACCTTGAGTGCTGAGTCTCTTAACAAGCTCTCCCAGCAGATAACATTTCACGTGTGTTGTCACAGCTTGTTGCTGGAGGAATTAAGCAAGTCCTATGTGACTCCCATGGGAGAGGAATCTGAAAGCTTGTGCCTGATCTCCCCTGGACTTCAACTCATGTACCTTTTCCCCTTTCCTTTGTAAAAATCTTAGCCATGAGTGGAACTGTGTGTGGAGTCCTATGAGCCCTCCCAGTGAATCACTGAACCTGGAGTGATCTTGGGGCCCTCCTTTGAAACTCTCCCTGGGATTCCCACTGATTTTAAAGACACAGGGAATTCCCTGATACTCCAATGGTCAGCCCTCTATGGTTTCACTGCTGAGGCCCCAGGGTTCAATCCCTGGTCAGGGAACTGAGATCCCATAAGTTGTGTGGCATGGTAAGGAGAAAAAAAAAAAAAAGACCAAAGTGCCTTCCCGAGACTTATAGTCATTGCACAGGCTGTGACCTCTGGCTGCTCATTTGATCTCACCTGTCACTGGTCTCTGGTCTGGCCACATGGTCTCCATTAGCCCTCCATACTCAACAGGTTCCTTCAACCACAGGCCCTTTGCACATGTGATATTCTCTGTCAGGAATGCCATCTTGTCATTTTTCTTTGCCTCCTGCAGGAGGTCTCTCTCAAGCACCCCAGCTCCAGGAATCTGACCATGTACCTCCCCTGTTGCACTCACCCATGGCCCATACCTCCCACAATAAAGACGGATGCACCCATTTGTATAATGGAGTCTGCTTCCTCCCCCAGCTTCTCATTAGGGGGCTGGGTCGGTGGGGTCCTGCTCATGCTACATTCTCCACAGCCCTCATGCCTGGAAGACTGCAGGCTCCCACTAAACATACCTGGAGGGTGGAACAAATCCCTCGAGCAAATCTCTCCTCCTGGGGGACTCCTGCACCCCAGCAGGTCACGTTCTCTTACCACCACCTCCCCACCCCCTAGTCCCCAGGGATTTGTGTTCTGAGGAATGCCTATTTTTAAAATCAGGGAAGTCTTTAAATAAGCGTAGCAGCTTTTCCTTCTCTAGGGTGGGGAGGAAGTTTGAGGTTCATGAAAATAACCATCGCGACGGCTGACTAGATTGTAGGGTGGGGGGGGTTGCTGCTTGCAGACTGAGAAGCCTGACCAGCAGCCCAGGTGCCCCCAGAGATGCATTCTCCAACTTTCCTCTCCATTCCCTGTGGGTCAGAATCCCTCCTGCCTTGATGGAAGAGTCTGTTGACCTGGCAAGATGATCATGAGGCTGGGGAGGCGATGCGGGAGTTAGTATTTAAGGTAGTGCAAACTGCAGAGATTGGAACTATCGCCAAAGCACCTGCATTTTCTGAGCTCTGTGCAGAAGCCCGTGGCAACACACAGCAGCAACTTTATGAGGCGGAGACGGAATCCTCTTCATTTACAGGTGCAGAGGCTGAGAACAGAGAGGCCAAGCAACCTGCCCCAGGCCACACAGCCAGTGAGATGCAGGGCTCAGATTCCGAGCCAGGCTGTCTGGCCCAGAGTCCCCTCCCTCCCCCATGACCTCTACGAATGCTGCTCTGGACTCAGCTGGTGAAGAAGGCCAGCACTGAGTCGGGAGTTCAGCCCGGTGTTACTCAATAAGAAACACATTTTATACCCTGCCACTTAGAACACGCTAACATATATACATTCTATAATCAACATTAAAGTTAATATGTGAGAGACTTAAGTTCTCCACTCTGTTCTATTTCTTAAAAGGCTGATTGAAGCCCATTAATGGATTTCAGGAATCACCAATGGGTTGAGTCTGAAACACATGGGTACATGCTTCCCTGGGGGAGGGAGAGGATAGCTGTTGGAAAGCTGGCAGTCCTGCCCCAAGTCTGTGATTTGGCCATGTTAACTGGGAAGCATAAGTCAGGCTGCTATTTGTGTTTTGAAAGCATAGAAAGAAATGAAAGCATAGAAGGAAAAATATATAGTTACCCAGCTAGAAATTAGGACCTATCACCAGTATGACTGAATCATCTGGGCCATCCCATCCCCAACATCTTAGTGATGCTTCAGCTGTGGAAAAGATGAGATAAACAAGAGTTCAGGGCGCCCCTCTTTCTTGCCCCACTGTGGCTCAGTCCTTGGAAGGAGGCCAGTGCAGCTGCAGTTTAACCAATGGCTCTCAGACCTGCTGCACATTGGAACCACTCGGATGCTTTAAAAACAAACAAACAAACCCCAGTGCCTGGCTCCCAGGCCCCAAGACTGTGATTCAGTTGGCCTGGAGTGGCCTGGGTGGTTGGGATCTCCAGTGTGCAGTCAAGGTCAAAATTATGAATGAACCTGGTGCCCCCAAACACCTTATGAGAAAGGTGCCAAAGGGCCACAAGGATTTCTAAGCACACCCGGCAACCAGGTTGCCCAGATGTGGCTGGTGACAGGTGACTGAGCTGAGGACTAGGTCAGCTGATGGGCCGAAAACCCACTTGATCCTCATGACGGCGTCAGCAGCTCCTGTGTATTAGGATGGCATGCTGCTACGTGCTCTCCAAGCGCCATTTTGTTTGATCCTCACTGTTCCCATTTTACAAAAAAGGAAAAGGGAGGCTCAGAGAGGTGGGCAGGGGCAGGGAGGGCCTCTCAGGAGGGCAGCTGTCCAGAGCCTGCTGGGGGCCCCTGTGATTAGAGCCGGCTACAGCAAATCAGGTCTGAACCATGGCTAAAAACCCCACCAGCTTCTCCTATAACAGAGCTATTTTGCTCCCTAAAGCTAGAGGGGCTGGATGATTAAATAGCTCCTAAATGCAATCCTATTAAAACAATTTTTTAAAAACATAATTAACTTCATTGGGGTAAATTATTAAAAGGAATGTGTTTTAGAACCAGTAAGAGGCTTATTTGCTCTAAGTGGTTCTGGTCCAATCTACCCTAGCTGCCCAACAATGTGGCTGGGACCACCCCTTGTTTTGACCTCTGTACGATGAAAGACAGGCTCCCACCCCCAGGGGTCTCCTGAGGTGTGTCCCTAGTTCTGCATTCCAACACTGCTTGCCCTGATGTTTCTGTATCTTAACCCCCACTCCTGCGACCTGTCCCTGCAGCCAGACCTCCTGACCCACCCGGACCCCCAGTTTTTACCTGCTGTCATTCACAGTGAGCAGACTGTCACTCCACATCTATTTCTTTTAGTATTACTATTGTGAAAACATGAGGAAAAACAAATTCACAATTCCAACACACCAAATTTATCATCTACTTATCTACCCATCTCACTCTTTAATCTGTCTTTTACAATTATAATCAAAGGCTGCAGACAACTTTGTATCTTTCCCCCCACTACTTATATGCATCAGACTTATGCCTTTTTAATGGCCAAGGTTTATTAACCACAGAGGTCAGTGTTCTCATTATTTTCTGATTGTTCATTTTTAGCATCTTTGTCACCCATTCAAAGGCCACATTTTTGCACATGTCAACATTTCTGAAATCTGTCCTACAACCGCCCAGTGTCAATGCTGTGTCACATTAGATCACAGTGAACAGGCGGGCCCTCTTCTCCTTCACAGCACATGAAATCATGATGCATTGACAGTCAAGGGCATCTTACGGACTAAGAAACACATGTTTCTAAACTGTGCTGTAAATGATACTTTTGCCTTTCTGTGGGTTGTTTCCTTTCCTGTAAGTGAGATGACCAGGTTTGATTATGACCATTTTCATGACTCCTGATGCACCCAGTCAAGTTTTTTTCCAGCAGTTGTGTGGGTTGATCCAACCCCTCGTGAGATGCAGCAGAGAGCCAGTTTCACCACAGCAAAACCATCACTGAGAATTTCCGCTTGCTTTTTTGTTTTGCCTAGTAGGGAGCGATAAACAAAGGAAACTGTTCCATTTGCCCTTCTGTGAGTGGTAATCATAGATGGAACTCAAGGAGCACCTGTTACTGGGTGGCAGGCAGTAAGCTTATGGTATCTTGTCAGGAATTGCCACAACAATATGGAGGGTGATTGTCATCCTCTACTGGAAATGCCACCGAATTTCATTAATGCAAAGATGGACATTTTCCCCTTATTTCAACATTTCTGAAATCAGAATTGGTAGCATGTTGTAAGGGCCATTGGTCACTTCCCCCTCCCACACTGTAAACAGCTTTAAATCAGAAATACTCTTACAATTAAAGGGGCCACCGATTTGACAAAATGCAAGATCATCACCATTGTCGCATGGTCCTCTGCCCCATTACTCTGCTGCTACCCTGAGCCTCTGGCGCTGCCCTGACAACTCCACCTGGCCAGGCCCCTAGAAACTCCAAGAGAACAGCTGAAACGGAAGTCAACATCTTTCCACCTTGCCCTACCTTTCACAACCAATGTCTCTTCAAATCCAACAAGCTGCACCCTAGATATCAAGAACAGAATTTATTAATCCTACTCTGGACAGCCACACAATACAGGAGGCAGAGAATTCGCTTTGCCATCAGGCTAGGTTGGAAGCCCATTTCTGCCACTTCCTGTGTGATCTTGAGCAAGTAGCTTTCCTTCTCTGTTCCCAAATGTCTCTACCTGTAAAATAAATGGTCTGGAGGAGTCCTGATGAGCTCAGTATTGTCCTCGCATTCTGAGACCATCGTCTCCTCAACTTCTCTGGATGAGCCTTCAGGAACAAGGGTGGTAACTTGGCCCCATTTTCCAGATGAGGAAACTGAGGCTCAGGGAAGTGAAGGGCGTGACCAAAGGACAGAGGGCTATTAAAATGCAGACCTGGGCTTTGAACATTCTGTTTTTTATTTTGAGGCTATCTTGAGGTTCCTCCCACAGCTTTCACCTCTGTGACTTTAAACACTTTGGTATGGTGCAAGCACCCTGAACACGTGTTTTCCCTCCATCCTGTTAGAAACATCAAACAATTATCTTCTCAAGACTGGGAGGTCCATTAACTCTGTTAGTCCACCTGAATTAATTTACCTTTTCATTCCAGGCAGCCATCTTTCTGTCTTCTCAGGATCTGGAAAATAAGAAAACATTTGTCCAGATCTGTCATCCTGCCAGCATTTGCCTTAGTATGTGTTTTCCAACACTTTCTTACAAATTATTTTTAACTTGCTTAAGTTAATAGTGTCTGAAAACAGTAAATAGTAAAGTTCAAGCCATATGTAGAAGGATGACCTCCTGAGTATATACCCAAAGAACTGAAAACAGGCACTCAAATACATGCACACAAATATTCACAGCCAAAAGATGGAAACAATCCATGCCAATTATCATATGAATGGATAAGTAAAAGATGTTATATCTATACAATGGAGTGTTATCCAGCCATAAAAAGAAATGAAGTACTTTTGCAATACATACAAATTATCGAATCATTATGTTGTACATCTGAAACTAAGTTGTATGTCAATTATATCTTAATAAAAAAGAAAGAAGATACGAAGTACTGACACATGCTACAACATGAATGAACCTCTAAAACACTATGTTAAGTTAAAGAAGCCAGACACAAAATGTCACATATTACATGGTTCCACTGATGTGTAATATCCAGAATATGCAAATCTATACAGACAGAAGGCAGACTGGTGGTGGCCCAGAACTGGGGGAGAGGGGAACAGGAGAGTGACTGCCTAATGGGGACACAGTTTCCCTTTGAGGTTATGGAATATTCTGGAACTAGATGGAGGTGGTAGGTGTACTACATCAGGAATGTATTAAATGATACTGAACTGCTCACTTTAAAACTTAATTTTTAAAAAATTTAATTCGATGTGCATTTCACTCCAATTAGGAACCAGGCAGACATATGTTAGTGTTGAGACTGCTCTGGAAAGCAGCAAGGAATCTAACTAAATGTTCACCACTGAGGGTCTGGTCAAGTCAGTCACAGTACATCTATGATACATCCAGTACTGTTAAATGTCCATAGGTGGATGAGGAAAGATGTGAGGAATATAACAAGTCTCCCATCACTTTATAGCATAATATGATCCCATCCATGTGAAAAGATGATATATGCATTAAAAAAAAAATCTGTTAAGGATGAAGCTGAATTCTTCACAGTGGTTACCGGTGGAGATTTGAGGGTGTGGTGGGTATTCTCTCTCTCTTGGCTTCTTTCTGAAAGGTCTGAACTTTTACAATGACTATGTGTGACTTCTTAAAGCTCATTTTTAACGTAGGTGACATATACAGTAAAAAAATTAGACACAAAAAGATATACTATGATAAGTCTTTCTATTCCTCATCTTCCCAGAAACATCCTCTCCTATCAGTTTCCCATGTAGCCTTTGGAGGTATTCTCTGTCTTCCCAAGCACAGTCTTATTTATTCTTTTTTTCCCTTTAAATGTGAGCTCTCACACAGCTCTGAATCTTGCTTATTTCCTTTTAGGGTGTGGAAGGCTGAAGGATGCCCTGCCCAAAGATGCACGGTCCAAATTCCCAGAACCTGTGAATGTGCCCATTTACATGGCAAAAGGAACTCTGCAAGTGTAAGGAGATGAAGGACATCAAGATGGGGCATTATCCAGGTGGACCCAGTGTGGTCAGAAGGGTCTTCACAAGTAGAGTGAGAGAACCAGAAGAGGAGGAGATGTGATGACAGAAGCAGGGACTGGAGTCAGAGTGAGATTTGATGTTATGCTGCGTTGAAGATTGAGGGAATGAGGTCATGAGTAAAAAAAAAAAAAAGATATAATGGATAGCTTGTGGGAAGACGCTGTGTAGCACAGGGAGCTCACCTAGAACAGTGAAATTGGCAGGTGTATGTATACACATAGCTGATTCGTGTTATACAGCAGACACTAACACCGCAAACTAACAGTGCAGAGCAATTATACTCCAATTAAAAATCTAAAAAATAAGTAAGGGCAGCCTCTAGAAGTTGGTAAAGGCAAGGAAACAGATTCCCCTCTAGGAGCCTCCAGAAGCAACAGAGCTCTGCCAAGACCTTGATCTCGCCATACTGTGACTGATTTTGGGTGAGAGACCCCTAGAACTGTAAGATAATAAATTTCTGTTCTTTTAAGCCATCAGATTTTCGATCCTTTGTTACAGTGGCCACAGGAGACTAACACAGTGAGCCAGAGACTGTCTTTCACAGGATGTTCTAAAGCAAATGCAGCGTTTGGGTGACTGCGCGGGATTCCCCTGAGGGAGTGTGTGTAGTTCCCACTAGCAACCAACATTTAGATTGCCTCCCAATCTTTTGCTGCCCCAGCGTTTCAATGAATAACCTTATACGCTGTGTCACGCAGTCATGTCCGACTCTTTGCAACCCCATGGACTGTAGCCCACCAGGCTCCCCTGTCCATGGGTTTCTCTGGGCAAGAATACTGGAGTGGGTTGCCACTTTCTTCTCCGAGGGATCCTCCCAACCCAGGGATCAAACCCTGGTCTCCAGCACTGGCAGGCGGATTCTTTACCATCTGAGCCACCAGGGAAGCGTCTATATGTCATGTACTACTTTTATAACTTAAAAAATATTAACATTTTGAAAAAAAAATCACGAAGACTTAAAAAAATAAAATAAAAAAGAGTAATTTCTCTCCCCACGGTAGCATGCTCAGGGCACAAGGGACTCTCGGTTTCTTGCTGGTTGACTGGCAGAGCAGCCTCTGCACCCAGCACAGCTCACCTGGGTGTGTTCCTGTTCCAGCCCCAGGGGGCTCTCACCCTGCTCATGAGATGGGGCTCAAGTGGAACCACCGCCACAAGCGAAGGTGAAGGGAAAAATTCAGGTGCCCTGGAGATTTCCTTCCTCCGCAGGACAGGAAACAGAACTAGCGCATGCATAGAAAAACACCCAGATTCACTCATTCAAGCAACGGAAAATTTAAACGTGCCATGACCTCCCCATTATACTAGACAAAATAAAAATGAGAGAAAAAAAAAAAGCCCCATGCTCATGGGACTGTAGGGAAACTTGCACATACTGCTGGGGATAATTTTTCTAAACAGCCACCTGGTAATAAGTGGTGTATGCCTTTAGGATGACCCTTGACTGGAACACACCAGCTCAAAAATCATTTGAACCTGAAATTATCACAACATTGTTAACTGGCTATACTCCAATATAAAATAAAGTTAAAAAGAAATTTGAAAGCAAGAGAAAAAAGTGCAATTTGGATTACACTGAACAAAGTTGGAAAATGGCTAGAACCTGGTAACAGCAGCAAGGTCCCATGGTAGGGAAAAGCTGAAGAAGGCAGTAGGAGGAATGACAATTCTGAGGTTTGTGTAGAAATGTAGAAAGAAGGTTGTTAAGCAACGAGAAGCAGAACTGTAATGGTTGCGCACACTGCCTGCAATTGTACAGTTATCAGAACTTTTACTCAGTGAAAGGGGCTTTCCGGGTGGCTCAGTGGTAAAGAATCTGCCTGCCAATGCAGGAGACACAGGTTTGATCCCTGGGTCAGGAAGATCCCCTGCAGAAAGGAATGGCAGCCCACTCCAGTATTCTTGCCTGGAGAAATCCATGGACAGAGGACCCTGGTGGGCTACAGTCCATGGGGTCACAAAGAGTCAGACACGACTTAGCAACTAAACAACAACAACGACAACTCAGTGCAAGGCATGGCCCTGGCTTCTGGGGAATCCTAAGTGAAGAGACAAGAAAAAGGTCTGGGCCCTGGTAAACTGACATTTTAGCCAAGAAACACATTAACAAGGTAACATCACTTGGAAGGAAGAACAGTAATGCAACAAAGGGCAGGCAAAGAGTGGCTCCTGCAGATTGGGATGGGCAGGGAAGGCTTCCAAGTAGGTGGCTTTCATGGTGGTCTCTGAGTTGCAAGCAAGTACGTCACAAGAAGATGGAAGGGATGAGTGTTACCAGAAGGAAGGGTCTGTGCACAGACCCTGAGAGAGCTTTTCATATGTCCAAGGAAGGAAGAGGACACCAGTATGGCTGCAGTGAGCAGAGGAATGAGAAGAGTCAGGAATCAATCAAGGCCCGGCTGTGCAGAGATTTCAGAAGGCAGTGCTGAGGGTCTGTGGGTCAAGGTGGGGATGCAGAGGAGTGACCAGATTCACAGTATGCTGAGGTGTAGGACCTGCAGCTGGCTGAGATGGAGGGGATTAAGAAAAAAGCAGGTTTTGGAGTAAGAATACCCTAGGCCTTCCTCCTTCTCGCTAAACTGGTGCTGAGGGCGGGATCAGGGACTACAGGGTAGTTCTGGAATTGTGCAAGCCTCAGCCTGAAGATTTTCAAAACCCTGTCCCTGCTGGCCTTTCCTTCCAAGTCAGAGAGGAAGGTGTCATGGTCCCCAGCCTTGGTCTTACTCAAGAAGCTTTCAGCTGCTGGTGGGGCTGCCGAAAACACCGCAGATCTCAGATAGCTGAGCGACTTGGGGTTGCAGGACAGAGAAGTGCTCTCAGATGGGCAGAGACGGGTGGAGACGGGGCCCAGCCTGAGTCAGGCACTGGGCTAGGCTTTCACACCAACCATCTCATTTAGTCTCCTCAGCAAGATTCTGAGGCAAGCTTAATCCCAAGGTTAAGGATAAGCAAAGGAAAACGACAAGGAAACTGAGGCATGGAAAATTGAAGTCCCATCGCTAAACCTGCAAAGCACCCTGTGCCCAGCGCGGGTGCTGGTACAAGCCTGGGAGTTTCTGGACCAGGGGGCTGCACCATGCCTCCTCTCTGGAGTTTAACCTGGTCCCCAAAGCACTGTTCTTATTGCTTGGCACCCTCTACCCAGATGAAGGATTTGCTGTCCACAAAGTTCTTTTTGCAGTGATAAGCAGGTAGGCTCACCCTGGCCTCTTCCCCTATTCCCAGCACTGGTCTCTCCCTGCCGTCTCCCAAGGGTGTAGGACCCAGGCAGGGCAGGCCTGATGAGTAAGAGGACTTAGGTGTTCACACCGACCTGGGTGAGTTCCGGCTCTGCCTCTGTGGGCGGTGTGACCCCCTGGCGAGTAGCTTGGCTTCCTTGAGTCTTGGTATCTTCACCTGTAAGAGGGAGACAAGGATGGTACCTAGCTCACC